TTACATACTATTGTAAATTCATTATCATTTATCATTATCAACAGTTCATGATATTATTTGGTGCTTAGTGTTTTAACGTAAACTCATTGACATTTATGAATGCATAATTAATGTTATAAATTTCTGCATGAGTTATTTTATATTTTTTTCTTTTTCCATATATTCGGATTCACAAATTTTTTATACTGAATTACGAAAATACATAAAAACTATTTAATTTCCGTCACTTACACATTTTTATTCTTCACAAGCTAGTCAGTTATTTTTAATAAAATTAGAAAAAAAATTTATTTTATTTCTTTAGTTATAGAATTAATTTTAAAAAATTGTGATAAGAATGAGAACTATATAATGTAGAAGAGAGTGAATAGAAGAAAAGAATGTACTAAAAAAATCTTATAAATAACTTCATTAAGATTTATGCTCAGTAAATTATAAAATGTATTCAATATTTATGTTTATGTTATAAGATCGGGTGAATTATGTGACAACGCTTGTCTAAGGTTAGGTTACATTCACTAATGTATCGGCGATAGACGAGCATACGAGATCCTACACCGAATTTATGATATAAACTTTAAATTTGTGTCATAAGTTAAGCACTTCAAAATAATAAAATTTTAATTAATCACTGAAAATGACAGCAAAAAATAATTTTTTTTACAGAAAATGACGCAAACTATAATTATGATGACCTTAACAGCTTTACCCCTATCTCTTCTCTTAACACAAAGTAATATTATTACTATACAATCTTTAAGATTCTATCAGATGTACGATAAAACACCAATTTGTGATTCTAATAATTTAGCTATGGAATAATGAGTTCCCAATTTTTCACTAACTGGAGCTGTCATGAAATTATTGATATTATTGAAATAATTAAATTTTGCTTATTCTGTAGATTTATTCCGACTGGCTCTGTTATTGGCGTAAGTTGTTGAATAATGAGTGAGTAACTGGATATCAAAAATTTAAATTTCCAATGCACAAGGTACTTAAACAAAAGTTGATTTTCTGATAATGTATATTCGAGGTAACATTTAAGTATACTAGGTATTTGACTTGAGGCAAAATTAAAATTAAATGTAAAAAGATACGACAAAAAATATTAGTGATTACGCAATAACGTCAAAAAATGATTATATTGATTAAATTGATCAGAATTCAAGTGTGATAAAATTTTATCAAATTATCAAGTATCGATATTACCTCGAGATGGAAAATGTTTGTAATGGAAATCGATGTTTCAACATATTTCGTAATGCTACGAGAAACTTTGAAGCCGACAACCAACAACAGCGACATTTAACTTCCGTTAATTATAAAATATAAGTTAATTTATTTTCAACGTTAAGTGTTATTGTAGATATTCCAACCATGATTTTATTAAAAAATATAATTAATATTTCTCAGAATCGCACAAAATATAATAAATAATAATCTTGTATTCGACAAATTAAACAAATTTCATTAAAATTAATCACTAATTAATAATCATTTAATTATTTTATAATTCAATTAAATACAATTTGTGAGAAATAAGAATAAAAATTTTTATCCAACTTAGTGATTGAGCACTATGCAAAAATATTTATGAAAATTACTGGGTTGATGTTTACATAAGAACAAAACTTAACATGTAAGAGAAATAATATTACAATCAATGTAATTCAATTATTTATGGAAAAAAGCATTTTAATGTACTTTTATATTGATTAAAAAAATTTATAGTAGCAATGCCAAGGTCTTTGTTGTTTGTACATGTAATGTGGTGATAAGTATTCAGAGAAGACAATATTTTCGATGAAATTTAATAATTAAAAATATATAGTTATTTTTTATCCGCCTCTCTCTTGAAGAAGAGAATTTTTAACGAATATATTTTTTGCATAATTATTGATTTGTAAGTTTACAAAATTTTCAAAAAGAGTCCATTCATATCGATCGTTCATTTTAAAGCTGTAACTCATTCCCTTTTATACAGTATATCACATCTAATAATACCTCAAATTTTTTTTTACTTCTTGCTGAAGAAATTTGAATAATTTTTTTAATTCATCAATTTTTAGTAAATAAAAATATTGCAAAAAATTTGTAGTAATAAGTTATTTTTCGCTAATATTAATAATAATAATAATAAAATAATCTGAAAATCGGTTAGTCTAATTCTTTCGCTATTCGGCTTTTAGCCTTGGCATTTAAATAAATAATAAATAAATAAATAAATAAATAATTCTACGGAAAAAATAATTCAAAAATATGAAAAATCACGATTATTATCGGAAGGAAATCAATTTTTCGCAACACCCTACTTAGATATTTATGTGTAATATACATCAACATATTTATAGACATTGTTGTTTTCTATAAAAATGGCGAAATAGATGCATTATACTTCTGAAGTAGGAATAACTCATATACATAATTTATAGAATTATGAATTTTTTTTATTAATTTTAATGAAATCAAATATTTTGTTGCTTGACCGGCATAATATTGGGAACACGTGTTTCGGGCAAATTACGTCATCTTAAAATATCATTCCGTATAAGAATCAGCTTTCTAAAAAAACTCCATAATATTCTTATATATAGAGTTAAGTTTTCACGTGAGCTAATGGTATATATTAATGGAATATGCGATAAGATTACCATGTATATGTACGAAACTAAAATAATAGTCATAATAATAATACATAATTCCTCGTTCATTATAATTCATGATTAACAGATAATGAACTGATGACTAATAAACATAAACAGAAAAAAATACTTTAAAAATCGAAACAACCGAGAAATAAATAATTTAAGAATGTACTAATTCAAAATAGATTGTTATTTCGGCTCAATACAATTGTGTCATTGTCAGTAATAAAAAAAAAAGTGAGTATTTAGCTGACTTACTATTATTCCGTTTATGTCATAAGATGCAACAAAGAAACGCTTTTCAAACGGCAAACTTTGATTTACGTTTTGCATTTTTTGCACGTGATAAACAATCACAATCAGTTTACAATCATTTTATATTCAAATTAACAACACATCACTTCTAATAGTTGTTAAATAATATTAAGGCAGTTGATATTGTTAACAATTAATTTTTATTTTCTAATTATAATTACTGAGAAGAATTAAATCAAAATCCGAATTTATTTATATAGTATGAATGTTACTACAAAACTAAGTCGGGAGTTGACATAAAATTACCGACGTACAAAAGCCGAGTAGAGCTCGTACGAATACGAATATAATAAGAGCAAAATCCAATGTAGCCTCGACCTCAGGTTCATTTAGTGACGTATTCGATCACGTGACTTTAACGTCATTGCATATAGAACAATCGATAGATTATCTGTACGCAGGTTTTACTTTTACGCGGTACATTTAAAAATGTAATGTTTTTGATCAAATGGATTTTGTCTAATGCTTTAATAATAGAAAATGATTTTTTATTTGATTCCATTGAAAAATTATTATTTCAAATTTGTCAATCTAAGTTTTTTTAAAAGATCGTTGTAAAATTTCTATTGTTGATAATCATAATGGCTAAAAGATGATTTGGAGATATTTTAAATTCTGGCAGGTAGTAATTCTTTTATGTCATTTAAATTAGTCACGTGTGATGACCATATATATTTATATTTATAAGCTTATTAAGCGCAGATAATACAAGTTGATGGATTACTAACGGCAGATATTTATTTATTTTTAAGCATGGAACAAAATCGTGACATTAATTTTTTAATATTTTTTTATCAATTTAAAAATTTTTGTCAAATGTTGCTTGTAATTATTTCAAGGAATCCACGTCGAAAAATGTTTATAATTATTTTTTTAAAAGTGAATAATAAAATGTTTTTTTTTTTTTTTTTTTTTGAAATAAGAACCTTGACCGTGGATCATCTGTTAAAAAAAAAAAAATAAATAAATAAATGCTATGAAGTTGGCGTGAAAAAAATGCATCGATTAATTTCAAGAGATAACTTGGCAACTTAATACAATCAATAGACGTGTGTATACATGAGTACAAATGTTGCGGATTATAAAAAAAATAAATTTTTGGCAGAGTATCAATTTTAAAAAACGATAAATTAAATGTTGAGAGACAAATATATTACCACAATGTGTCATAGAGTATTGTACGGATCTATGAGCGAAGAATTAGACAAGTATGGTTATTTTTATTTAAATAATAATCGTACTCAAATTTTGATGGATAAAAAAAACTTTTAGACAAGGAAATGATTAGAAATTTTGTTTCGTGGTTATAATTTGCTAGATGAAAATTTTTAAAGTTTAATTTGAGTATAGCCGCAACATTTCAGTATAATAAATTTTTGTTAAATTTCATAAAAAATTACTGTTATAAAATTTTTAATGTTAAGCATGACTTCATTGACGTTTATAAAATAGATTTATTACAAACTCAGGTTAGTATATAATCAATATTACAATTTATACTTTTGTATTCACCTCCCAAACAATGTAATACGTTGATGAAAAGAAAGTTTAACGCAATTCTTTTATCTCGTAGAAAAAAAGTTTTTGAAAAGATGTTATTTTTCAGATCCTGTAACGGAATAGTTGAATTTTTATAAGTGTGTTTTAAGCGCTAAATTTATAAATAATTTTTCAGATGAATTAAGACTGGATTTTATAATGTTTATAACTATAAATAAAAATTAGTAAATATTTATCTCAAATCCATCTGGTACTAAATTTTTAATTAGTATGTAATATTCGAATATTAAAATTTTTTTTAAAACCTTTTATGCTCAAAAATGTCTTCGTCTATTTAACGCTCGAAAATTTGAAAAAATTGATAATGCTTTTTTCTATAAGTAAATTTAAACTAAATATTTGTGATATTTATGTTTTCTAAATTTATTATAAGTAGAATGCAACTATTGGTAGAAGAAATGCGAGATATATTTCATTACCGCGGACCTAATTATATTAGTTCTTAGTAAATGAATGTCATTAATTTTTTAGATCGTTATGGATACCGATATTAAAAAACTAGATTCTTCGAAACCACCGGGCCTCAAGGTTGAACGAGGTAAGACTGATTAATTTCTTACAGCTAATTGTCCTGAAACAACGCAATAGTGTTATTTAAGTATAAGCAGTTTGTTTTTTGCAGTATTATTTTATACTAGTTTTATTATAAAACAAGTGGTTTAATTGACATCTGATAATATCTTGGATAATTTAATTAGGCGTTGAATGTTTCATAATGTAATTTGATTATATAAATTTCTATTGTGTGTTGCAGACAGTGATCTTATTGGGATGTTATCTAAGCAATTATATTTGGCCGGTGATCAGTTGCAGAGGATGAAAATCGTGTTGAAAAAAACTGAGGATAGATTGAAATCAAAAGATCAAGAATTTAATCGTCTTAAGCGAAAAGTCTAGTCAATTATTGTCAATATTTTCTGCCGAAGGGTATCAAAAAATTTTTAATGATTTTATTATTATTTTAGTTGAAGGATTGGGAGAGTAAAGAAAAAAGTCAAGAAAGCAATCTAAAAAAAGAAAGCAAGCATCGGAAAACACAATTCGAACGATCTGATTACATTTATAAGAGGTGTCTGAAATTAGAAAAGAAAATTGATGAAATAGAGGTTTGGACAATGTCATTTACTTTAATTTATTAATTATTCTATGTAATTTGATCATGTTTTAATTAAAAACCCAACTAAAAAAAAAAAAACTAATTTGTTTCTACCAAGACAATTGTCGAGAAAAACTGAAATCATTCTGGAGCAAAAAAAAATTTCCTCAAGACCAGGAAATTTTTTGTGCTTCAGAAAATCATACTTTGTTTAAGACAATTTTGGTTTTCAAAATTTTCTTAAGTGGAAGAATATTTTTACTTTAACTAATAGTTTTTTTTTTTTGTAATTGAATACGGACGAGTTTTAATATTTGAATTTTATTGTCTATAGAAGTTTCTTTCCAACTACGGATTAATTTGGGTTGGAGAAAAGAAAAGCGCGTCAAAAAATTTTAGTCAAATAACACCGTAAAGTATCAAAAAATTTTTATTATAAAAAATCAACAAAGTCTGAAGTTTATAAAAGATTTTTTTCTCTTTTCAGTGACTACCTAGATAAAATAATTTTGAATATTGAAGACTTGAACATGTCAGTTGGCAAAGGTGAGATGTTTATATGCCGTAATTCCGGAGGAGCCTCTTTTAAGGTCAAATTTTAAAATTAAAATTATATTCATAAACACAAACAAAAATTAATTAACTTCACCATAGGAAAAAAAATTAACTTGAATCAAATAAATAATTTTGAAGAACTTCATCTTTTTCATTTTAGTAGAAAAATTCTTAAATTAAGAAACTTTTCTTGGTTTAAGTGAATTTTACTTGATTAAAAAATTTTTCGTCTTGATTCAAGACAAATGAAATTCTTTAATAGTATACACACTTTGGGCAGAAAATAAGAAACCCTCAGATCACATGTTTGTTGACCTCGGCTTCGCTTCGGTCAACAATTACATGTGATCTGAGACATTTCTTACTTTGCTGCCCTAGGTATGTAATTTACTATTTTTAAGTTCAAGAATTTTTTTCTTGATTCAAGTAAATTTTTTTTTCAGTACCGCTTTGGAAATTAATAGTTTTCAAAAGTAAGAAAATATTCATTTCCGTCCGATTTTGAGAAGTTGAGTTTTCATCAGATCTCCACGTTATGAGGTCCTAGTAATCAAAATTGAACGAAAAAAAATCAAAATGAGAAAATGTCGCCGTTTCAAAATCTAAAAAAAATATTGATCTAAAATAATTCTTAGATTTTTGAGCTTAAAAAGTTTAAAAACCAACCAATTGGAAAATTTTTAAGCGTTTCAAGCTCGAAAAAAACTAAAAGTTTCAGGGGTGGTCTGCAGGATCAACCGCTTTTCAGTTTTTTTTCTTTGTATCGACAGTATCCATTTATAATTACTTCTATGGCACTTATATTCCAGACTCTTCCAGCTTTGACGTTAAAATTTTACAAAAATGGCATGATTTTGCAAAAAAGTCAGTTAAGGCCTTATGACGACCCCTCGTCTCAAGCATTTCTTAAAGATATATTTGACGGCTTTTTTCCTTCAGAACTTCAGTGCGATTATCCCAACGGCGTTCCCTTTAAGGTTTTGTTCATTTACACTTAAATACTAACGTATGTTTTCTGATTTTCGAATCAGAGATCTAATTTAATTTAATACAAGGTCGAAGACTACCGAACAAAACACTATCTTGGTAGTGGAGCAAATTATCCTGGGAGTGGTCATCAGTTAGGGAACATATCCACTGCTAGTAGCAAAATTTATTCAATTAATTCTTCGGTGGAAGAAAAACATTCAGTATCTGCAAAATCGTCGGATTTAAAACATCCTTATAATTTATCGATTAAGTCTCCAAGATTTTCTTCGCGAACAAAGTAAGATTGATTTTTTTTAATTGAACGTAAATAAATTAAAAAAATCTCATAAGCTTAATTGATAAAATTATATGCCAAGTCATATTTGTATGTAAATTAAAATTTAACTATTCAGATTGTCAAATCCAAGCCTATTTAATCTTCAAATTCCGATTTCAATCACTCAGAGAAATAATTCAGAAAAAAACACTCCATCGAATAATAACGTAGAAATAACATCGGGGAATATAAAAAATGTAAGAGTAAGATATAAAAAATTATGTAACATTTTTAACCATGTTCATAAATCACGCTAATTAAGTTTTGTAATTTTGAAAGAATACAGCAAATTTATCCTCAAGAATAAAAATATCTAATTATACTCAGGATGTATCAAAACGATCATCTCATTCGAGTAAACATAAATTTGAGTTATCAGATAGATCATCCTTGGATTTATCAGCCCGGTAAATAAGTACCCATTATTTTATATTTAACGTCACATAAATCATTTCGATTACTTTTGAATGATCGTTGTAGTTGAACAGTTGGTTATTTTTTTAATGACTTGATTTTATGGATAACCAATGATATTTATTTTGAATTTATTTGTAATTTGTGATTTTGATTTTATAATAGGAGCAATTTTGGGATTCGCCCGAGATCAGTGAGTTTCTCAAGGGATAGTTTTCGTTTTTCACACAGTTCAATGCCGTCATCCACTGGAGGTAATTCTAGTTCTTCGAGAAGTTGTAAAGACATTAATGGAAGCAATTATAGTAAACTCCGGACATCAAAATCGACGACAATGACGACCCATAACTATGAAGTAAGAAATCACTTCGTTTATTGATAACTGTTTTTTTTAGTTTAAAAAATCTAAAAGCATGATAATGATTTTTTGAAAACTGTCAGTTAAAATACTTGATATTGAACATTTTTTTCAACTGAACTTTAATTGTCTTAATAATATAAAAGAAATTTTACCAAATATTGAGATAAAAATTATATGCTTCACATAAAGTTTTATTAATTTTTCGTAAATGATCAGATAATTGCTCTGTTAAAGTTACAATGGTTATAAATTCAGGAATGTATCGTTCATGTCACCCAAATATTTTTGTGACGAGAAATACTTTAAGAAGTTTTTAATTAGTTATTAATAATACCAATAAATTTATTTCAGATGCCGTTAGTTCAGGAAATAAATGAATCAACCAAAGATTCAGGAGAATTGAGATTGAAAATCAGATCTTTGAATGGTAGAATAGTTTACCTTGCGTACGTTTTTGCTGATGACTCAGTAAACTATCTTTACCACTTGTTGGACAGAGCGATGTCAAGAAAACGAAAGCGTACTCCGAGTTATAAAATTGTTATCAGTGGGTAAGATGAAGAAATATTATTATTTTCGAGTTAAATTCTATTTTACTAAAAACAAAATGTCTTTTCTTTTGTTTAAGCCCGTCTTAAGTGAGCTTAAGCACTAGATATTAAGCTTATTTAACATGGATATAAGCGTGATGGGAACTGAGATTATCTGCTTGAAACTAACAAAATTAATTTTTAACTTACATTTATTTCACTATAGATTTACTTATTATTCTAAACAAACTGTTTTTTTTTCTAAAATGATAAAGTTATCATATTATTTTCAGATTTACATCAAGAAGACTTGATCATATGGACATCTCCTTAAAGAATTACGGAATAGATAAAGATACTGTACTTCATCTGGTTAATGACTGAATTATTATTGATACTCTGATTATTATAAAATTTTGAAAAATTGATTATGAACCGAAATGTCATAAGAAGATTATGAAGATTTATACATTTATTTTAGTAATTATTGTGAAATTCATGCTCCAATTTGTAATAAAATAAAATTTAATCTCACGACTGAATTAAGCGCTCCTAGATTTATGCAATCCTTTAATAGTATTGACTTTTTTTATTTAAAATATGTACAAAATAAATAAGAATATTTTTATAAATATTATGACTTATAATAAATTAAACAAGGAATTTTGAATTGTAGACATCATGTATTCTGTTTTTTTATTGCAAGCGTACATTAAATTGATGATCCATGTTATTTGTAACTATCACATGTTAAATTTTTGTTATATCAAACATTCCATTACGCAATGAATTTAAATTTCAAGATAGTTACTTTATTACCAAATATTATTTATGATTGATATGTATTACAGTTCAAAATGAAGCAAAAACATGATTAATAATCTTGAGAAGACAAAAAGAAGGGTGAAAATAGAGTATAAAAACAAAATGGATTGTCTGTCCATAAACTTAAGGTAAAAAAAAAATATTTCTTACGTCGATTATAATTGTCATTAACAGTTTCTGATTTATTGTTCTTTTTTTTTATTTTTTAAAGTACCAAAAAGAAATAAAACATAGATCCACAGATTCGGTAGAATCTGGCGCCAAGTTCCGTTCAAATCCGTTGTAAACGGAGCGCCAGACTACCGAGTGTGTTTACTGTAAGCAGAACGGTATTTCGAGGTTGCAAAATTTTATTTATTTCTACGGTAATTTTTTTTCCTAAATTTTATATTATAACAGTAATTCATACTTTATTTTACTGATATTAATTAATTATATTTAATTATAACAATTAATTTACTTGAAATTATTAAATTCAATCAGCACAAACTATAGCAACGCAAAAATTTCGATCCTGACTTTTTTTCGATAGGCAAAGTGATCTGCCACAGACTACATAATTCGATAGTGCATGGTAATCCTCCGATAGATGGGAAACTACAGTTAGAAAAATACATTTCACAGCTTGCATCTACACCCGCCAGGGTGCGCTGGAATTATTTTTACATAAACTGTAGCTTCAAGGGAATAGTTTGCTATAAAAATGCAGCCAACGCGAGATTTAAATTTGTACTAATTGTAAATTTTTATTATAATTACAAAAAATACTAAAATTCGAACAAAAATAGTTTCACTGTAAAAAAATCGCGCCAAGTCCACGTTCATAAGACTATTAAGAAAAAAAAATTAATTTTTT